GGAGGAATAGTGTCCCATCATTGGTGTCAGTGGGAGGAATAGTGCCCCATCGTTGGTGTCAGTGGGAGGAATAGTGTCCCATCATGGTATCAGTGGGAGGAATAGTGCCCCATCGTTGGTGTCAGTGGGAGGAATAGTGTCCCATCATGGTAATAGTAGGAAGATCAGTGCCCCATTGTTTGTCAGTGGGGGTCTCATTTCAATGGGAGGATTAGTGGCCCAAGTGCCAGATAAAGGCAAGCAAAGGGCCACAGTTGGGAGACCACCGGTTTAGACCGAGGGTCTCTAATCCATGACCCACCACAAGATTTTATCCGGCATGCAGCTAGGGTAAGTGACATGTTCTCAGACTCTGTTCAAAAACTGAGGAATCAAGTCAGTTGGTCTCTTTGGAGGGGGGCCCTGATGTAAGAGGGACTCTGAAGTGATGGTAGAACTTTTGGTGTGATGGAGGCCTTCTAATATGAGGTTATTTCATGAAGCAGGTTCATTTATTTACATTTTATTCATGTAGTTTTTGTTATATAATGTGGCCCTCATACTGGAAGGCTGGAGACCCCTGGTTTAGTTCCAAGCGGTTTTCTGCAGCTGAGCATGTAGGAGAGTCTGTTGTCACACTGAGGACACTGGTAGTTAGTGCAGTTATTTGCCAAGGCTGAGGGGGCGAGCTGTACTGAACTTGTAGTGTCTGCTCCCAGGCTGTCTCGGCTATAGGGGAGGAGGGGAGCGCACTCCCAAGGGCTGGATCCTACATTAAAGGACTCTTTATATCGCTGCCAGCTCCCGAGTCTGTGAATCACTGGTCGGCCTGACAAGGGCAGGGCAATTACATGTGAAATGTACTCTGAGAGAGTAGCAAACCACAGCCACTGCCAACATATAAGAGGCTTTAATCACTGCCGCACTGTGCGACTGCAACTCCTGCCGGCCCCGCTAAAGGTCCCCGGTCTTTACGGAAATTGAAGGGTTTTGTTTTAAAACCACGAGCTGTATGAAGTCTCTAAATGCAGTCAGTCATCGGGTAGCTTAGGCAATGTCCATGTTGTATCCGTGGAAAGGCCGAAGCTTTACATGCACACTGGTGTTCAAAGTGGCACATTGTAGTGTGTGGCCCGTCTTGCTGCTTGGCAGTAATGAAAAATAAAAACATTCAACACATTTCTGCCCCAAGCCAAGCTTGGAAAAAGATCTTCCCATTTAGCCGTGTCAACTGCTCCTGCCAAAAGGATTGTTGCTTCGCATAACATGGGCATTGTGTTCAGATGAGAGGGAAATGGACTTATTCCGACACACGTCTTCAGATCTTTCATGCAATTGGCTCTTCTAACAAAAAAAAACCCCCCGAAAAATACCAGTTCTACTCAGAATTTCCCATTTCTTCTTCTGCCATTTGTTGTCATACAAACTTTAGTACTCATAAATGTGTTGCGTCTATGGTGTTTGTTAATGCACAATTTCATCTGAGCAATTCGATTGAAATGTGTTTCAGTTGAACACTTAATTTCTTTCGGGGAATAAAACCACTTTTCAAGAGTTTCTATATTAAAACATGGGCAGCACGGTGGCTAAATGGTTAGCACTTCCGCCTGGCAGTACTCAGGTCGTTGGTTCGAATCCCAACCACGGCACCACCTGTCTGAAGTTTGCATGTTCTCCCTGTGCCTGCAAGTCTTTCCTCCGGGTACTCCGGTTTCCTCCTACACTCCAAAAGACATGCTGGTAGGTGAATTGGCTCCTGTCTAAATTGGTCCTAGTATGTGTGTATGTATGAATGTGAGTTAGGGACCTTAGATTGTACGCCCCTTGAGGGTTAGGGACCTTTGTACGCCCCTTGAGGGTTAGGGACTGTAGATTGTATCCCCCCTTGAGGGTTAGGGACCGTAGATTGTACCCCCCCTTGAGGGTTAGGGACCGATGTAAATGTACAATACATATGTAAAGCGCTGCGTAAATTGACGGCGCTATACAAGTATCTCAAATAAATGTTCAGGAGATATGTGGGACTATTATACGGAGGGATCCGTGGAGCTGTTTATTTTATAAATAAGAATCTTTGACCAAGTTACAAGAATAGTTAGTGTGGCTAAGGGCCCGATCCCTACATTTTGGCTTGTCCCTGATCCTCCAAGTATAAACGATTGGGTTGATAGAGTGGATGATATTTATAGAATGGAGGAACTGTGTCCTATTGAAGAGGATAAAATGGAAAAATTTAGGAAAACATGGAGTCAGTGGTTGGGCTTTAAAACAACTAAAAGATATGTGGATCTACTTGGAAGGTAAGTAAATGAGTAGTGAGGGGAGGTTGTAGGAGTGCCCACAGAGGGGACAAGAGGAAGGGAACACCGATATAGACTGATGATGACGAAGGTTAGAAACAAGGAAAGTGGTGCAGTTTTAGAATTTTAGGGAATGTGGAGGGGTGAGGGAAAATACGATATGAGTTATTTGGGATGCATGGGAGAAGCTTGTAATTGTGTTTTCTTTTCCCAACCTATGTTTGATGTTGTTGTGTTTTTTTGTTTTTTTTGTATTTTAAAGAAATAAAACCTAATAAAAGATATAATAATAAAAAAAACTTTCAAGACTGTCCCTTTTGGGTTTTCGGTTCCCCTAATTGCAGTTTGAGGCTTCCATCAGGTCCTTGCTTGGCTTGCATATTAGAAAGACCTGAGCGCCATGGATGGCTTCAGTGATGATGGTGAAATAGTGAGTTTGTAGGCAGGTGCAGTGTACACTCTCCACTACAGGTGGTGCACGTCTGAAACGGCAGTGCAGCTAGAGGAGGACGTCGGGAGAAAAACTAGATTTCTCTATGGTTTTCTCGGTTCCCTGGAGCAGTGAAACGGCTAGATGTGCCGAACCCAGGTGACCCTTTCAGCCATCTTTGCCTATGCAGAATCTTTTAAGTCCCTGCCGCCAGGAATTGGCGTGCTTTATGCGAATGGCTAGTATAGGGACTGGCTACCCGTCTGTAATTGACAGCACTAGTGGTAGGCAATGGTTTTGGTGGAGTAGCGAAAGAGTAGGGCCTATGTCTACTCCTTCAGGAAGCTCCCCTTTGGGTTGGACTGGCCAGGCCATGCTCCGCTCCTTATGACAGACTGTCTACAAGCTCAGATCTCCATGCCGCTGACTCTGTTCTGAACTGTTGTCAATGCCCCGGTCAGGTAAGCTTCCCCACCGGGCTTGTTTGTACTGTTTGAGAAGTTCTGTAATTCATTGTTGTTTGACAAACCAGGACTTTGTGTGTTTTCTGCCGCCGCACCACAATGCACCTACCCAACAAATAAAAGGCCGGTGTCACACATTATGGACTTCCAAATCTTAAAATAAATTTGATTGAAAGCCGTGTTACGTTCCTTTCATAATGTGTGATTCTTGACTGGAGAATTTATAAGAAAAAAGGGATTTAAGTGGAGCAAAGTTCTAGCATTAAAAACCACAAGAGCCTTTAAATGTCGTGTCTTTACGTTTTGGCAACAAAGGCTGTTTTTCTTTTTATTGGTTAATGATTAGATGGGTTATCACCAACTCTCCCAGACGCCTGTGTTTATAGTGTTGGAGTTGGCAGGCTTTCAGTGTCTGGGTATTGTAACAAAGCACCTTAAAGGTCAGAGTAGGCCTCTAGCTTCAGGCAGACACTCAACGTGGCCATGGACTTAGGAAGGTGGTCGGATATGTAGGTTATGTTTGAAGTGATGTGTACTATTTACAAGCATGCGTATATTGCCTGTATGTTATGGGGTTTGTCTGTGGAAGTTTAAAGGGCTTTCAGACACTCCAAAATGCACCTTATGAGTGCAATCCAACCTAGCCAGGTAATGTTCCCCCACAGTGTCAGTCTGGACTGGCCAACTGTTTACTTGTGTGAAGTACCTTGAATAGTGGAAGGGTCAGAGACCTCCAACAGTATTTCAGAAGAGGAGGGTTAAAGAGTGGAGAGTTCAGGAAAGGCAAGGAGAGTTATAGAGGAAGGAGCGGAGTCCTCCAGCAGAGCAGAGTATTTCAGGAGAGGAGAGTTATAGAGGAAGGAGCGGAGTCCTCCAGCAGAGCAGAGTATTTCAGGAGAGGAGAGTTATAGAGGAAGGAGCGGAGTCCTCCAGCAGAGCAGAGTATTTCAGGAGAGGAGAGTTATAGAGGAAGGAGCGGAGTCCTCCAGCAGAGCAGAGTATTTCAGGAGAGGAGAGTTATAGAGGAAGGAGCGGAGTCCTCCAGCAGAGCAGAGTATTTCAGGAGAGGAGAGTTATAGAGGAAGGAGCGGAGTCCTCCAGCAGTGCAGAGTATTTCAGGAGAGGAGAGTTATAGAGGAAGGAGCGGAGTCCTCCAGCAGTGCAGAGTATTTCAGGAGAGGAGAGTTATAGAGGAAGGAGCGGAGTCCTCCAGCAGAGCAGAGTATTTCAGGAGAGGAGAGTTATAGAGGGAGGAGCGGAGTCCTCCAGCAGAGCAGAGTATTTCAGGAGAGGAGAGTTATAGAGGAAGGAGCGGAGTCCTCCAGCAGCGCAGAGTATTTCAGGAGAGGAGAGTTATAGAGGAAGGAGCGGAGTCCTCCAGCAGTGCAGAGTATTTCAGGAGAGGAGAGTTATAGAGGAAGAGGAGTCCCTCCAGCAGGAGGAAGGAGCGGAGTCCTCCAGCAGCGCAGAGTATTTCAGGAGAGGAGAGTTAGAGGAAGGAGCGGAGTCCTCCAGCAGAGCAGAGTATTTCAGGAGAGGAGAGTTATAGAGGAAGGAGCGGAGTCCTCCAGCAGCGCAGAGTATTTCAGGAGAGGAGAGTTATAGAGGAAGGAGCGGAGTCCTCCAGCAGTGCAGAGTATTTCCGTAGACCGTTTTGGAACTGAGAAGAGGTATTGGCTAAAAACAAAGTAACAAAGACTTCATACAAATGAGTGGACGGGCTCTTTCAATCCATATAACAGGTTTATTTATTGATTGTTTACTTTTATGATGCTTAGTTTCCTGTAAACTGGACAGTTGAGTTATCTTCCCTTTTTCTGTTTGCAGCGGAGCTGGAGTTCGTTCAGATAATCATCATTGTGGTGGTCATGATGGTTATGGTCGTGGTAATAACGTGTCTCCTCAATCACTACAAGCTTTCAGCACGGTCGTTCATTCACCGACACAGCCAAGGGAGGAGGCGAGAAGAGAACCTGTCTTCGGTAAGGAAGTTTCTTGCAACCTGTTGGCAAAAGCTTTGGCCAATCAGTTCATCAGGACCCAATGTTTTGTTTTTGTTTGGTAAATTGACCGCTTCCGGACCACAATGTACTACGGCAGCTACAGGCAAAGCAAGATACCCGTACATCGCTCTGGCTGTACTAACACAAGGAGGCACCGTGCGCTTGAGCAGGCACACAGCGCTCCCCCACTGCGACTGCTGAGTCCGGCGGACACAGGGGAAAGAAGATCCCGGTGAACGGGACCCAGTGATCATGTGATCGCTATGCAGGCAAAGCTGGTATGAATCAATCTCATTCATAACAGCTCTGCTTCTCTTCCTAGTGAGCTGTGGTTGACCCACAGCTGTCACATGATACATGCGGCCAATCACAGCACCCTGTGCCATGTGACCAGCTCCAGCCAATCACAGATCACTATCTTGATCTGTCAAAAACAAACTCAATGATGACAGTTCAGGAATTAGTTCATGACACCAAGCTTTGCTTTGCTTTGCTGAAGGAATAAAAATCATTTCTCCTGCAATGCAAAGTGTAAAATAAATAAATAAATAAATCCCTGATCCCCCCCACATTGTACTATTCATTGTACTATTCTGATTAAAAGTAGTATAAAAAAAATTTTTTAAAAGTTTAAAAAAAAAATGTTAATAAAATATACCATATTGAGAATTATTTTTTTTCAATTAGAAGGGTAATTTTTTTTTTTTTTAACTACTTGCCAACCGTTTACCCGCATTTTACGGGTGAGCAGCAGCTCTTGGCAAAGCGACGTAATCTTGCGCTGCCTACTATTTTGGGGAATGAACGCACCTGCGCCCCCTGTTGCCCCCTCAGTCGGTCCAGGAAGAGAAGAGAGGGCATGGCACCAAGTAAAAGCACCACTATATTTTACACACACGTTAGATTAGCAATTTTTCACTGATCACTGCATTCCTGCCACTAGCGACATCAGATAACTTCTGGGTCAGTAAGCGCCCCTACCAGCCAGGGTCAGCTAGCATTAGATTGCCCGCACATGATCGCACTCGCACACTAGGTCGCTGATCACCGCCATTACTAATAAAGTATTTGTACAGATCAATATATTGATCACAAACAAACGCAGTGTTAGCAGGATCAGCCCTGTTCACTGCCAGGACTAGCGTTTAGCACCTCCACTGTTTTTTCCCAGATTTGTTCCAATTGATTGTGGGCCAAGGCAATTTACACACACAACAATAGATGGCCGCTTACCCAAATCCAGCTCTTGCCAGACAATTTGCATGGAAACCTATCACTTTCTGAATTTAAAACTTTTTTGGGACTTACATTCAACATGTGCATTACAGAAAAGAATGAATTGCGGTCATATTGGTCCACAAACCTGATTCATCGTATGCCCATGTTCTCTGCTGTTAATATGCCCAGCATGGACCAGCAATGTACTGGTACGTTGCTGGACTTTGGTTATACCGGTCTGATTCCTTCAGCTACAGGCATCTTCCTGGTATCGTTTTTTTTTTTCAGATGGCGGTTGGCTTTCATGTAAAAGCAATCCTAGTGGCGAATTAGCTGCTGAATTTTTACAAGCAGCGGTAAGGGACATCCCGCTGCTGCCTTCCACAGTTTTCTTGGGCTCTTCTGTCCCACAGGGGAATCCGAGAATGCAGCCGGACGTTTCGGTGGCTGACAATAGAGCTGATCAGAGACCAGAATGGCTTCAATCATCTCTCTAGTCTAAGAAATCGGAAGCTGCCAGCATTTCATCATTTCAGTTTTGTAGGATATAAACGCCGCCATTTGTAAATTGGGAAAGCATCTGATCACACCGATCTTGGTGAGATCAGATGATGTAAGGACAGAGGAGATATCTACTGTAGAGTCTATTAATTTCTCAAAGAATACCGGTCAATGCCTATTGCAGTCAGAGGGGATATTTACATTCCCTGTGACAGCAATAAAAGTGATTAAAAAATATAGGAACGGTGTAAAAATTATAAATCAAAATACCGAAAAAAAAGCCCCCGTGCACAGTGACCCCATGACGGTATGTAAGCAGCGGTTGCACCGTGCATGTGAGGTATCAACATGAACATCAGATCGAGGCAGTTATTCTAGCACTAGACCTCCTCTAAATATAAATTGGTGACATGTAAAGGCTTTTAAAGCATCACATTTCGATAATGAAAATGGATGTACTTTGTTGCCATTGCACCGGCATGCGCAATTATAAAGCATGTCATGTTTGGTATCTATTTACTCGGTGTAACATCATCTTTTATAATGTACTAAACAATTGGGCAATATATTGTGTTTTTATGCATTAAAATTCTAAAGTGTATTTTTACCAAACAATTTGCGTTTGAAAAATTGCCGCGCAAATGTGTGCCATAAAAAAAAATTCAACACCCACCGTATTATTCTCTAGGGCCTCTGCTTTAAAAAAAAACATATATAATTTTTGCGGGTTCAAAGTAATTATCTAGCAAAAATTTTTTCATGTGAGCAAAAAGTGTCAGAAAAGGCTTGGTCTTCAAGAGCGGCAAAAGCTTCTAATGATGGCCCTGGAATGCCAGGATAGTACACCCCCTCCCCAAATGTGACCCCTTTTTGGAACCTAGACACTCCAAGGTGTTTGATAAGCGGCATGGTGAGTATTTTGCAGATCTCATTTGTTTCCACATGTTTTTGGAAAACGAAGAAAGAAAATTGTTTTGTTTTTTTTTCTTTTTAAAACCCTGTGACAAAAATGATATCTGTAAAATACTTATCATGCCTCTTATCAAATTCATTGGGGTGCCTACTTTCCAAAAAGGGGTCATTTTTTTGGGGGGGGAGGGGGTGTTTGTACTATCCTGACATTTTAGAGCCTCCGAAACGGTGATCGTGAGGAAGCGAGGAGGAAATATGCCCTTTGAAAGCCTGGAGGTGGTCATTGGATTTTGGGGGCCTGTATGTACCTAGGCTGCCAAAAAGTCTCACACGTGGTATCCCCATACTAAGGATAAATAGAAGAATGTGTTTGGGGTGTTGTTCCACCATGGCATGCATGAGCAATATATCATCAAAGTGACAACTTTGTGTAAAATAAAAAATTGTGAAAAAAAAAATATGTTCCATGGACTCAACATGCCTCTCTGCAAAATCCTTGGTGTCTGCTTTCCACAAAGGGGTCATACGGGGGGGGGGGGGGGGGGGGGGGGGGGGGGGGGGGGGGGGGGGGGGGGGTTTGTACTGCCCTGGAATTTTAGCACCTCAAGAAATGTGATAGGCAGTCAGAAAGTAAAAGCTACGTAAATTCCAATACATATTCCATAGTTTGTAGACGCTATAACTTTTACACAAATCAATTAATATACACGTATTGAGATTTGGCCTAAATTTATCACTAACTTTGATTTTATTGGATATTTTTTATAACCAAAAGTGAAAAGTATATTGTTTTTTTTTCAAAATTTTTGGTCTTTATCGTTTAATAGCGCAAAAAGTAAAAGCCTCAGAGGTGATCAAATACCACCAAAAGAAAGTTCCATTTGTGTTGCAAAAAGGACATCATTTTTGTTTGGGTACAGAATCGCATGACCACGCAATTACCAGTTGAAATAGCGCAGTGCCAACCAGCAGAAAATGGCCTGGTCATGAAGGGGGGAGTAAATCTTCTGGAGGGCAAGTGGTTAAATTAACCATTAGTTGATAGTCGAGTTATTTGGATGTTTCAGTAATGTAATACTGTTCCAAAACATCTGATTTACATTGCGGTTACCATTGCTGGCCTTCTGACCTTTGTTGGATTACTTTGAAGTTTTGTATGTATTCTACATTTCTGCAGCGTTCTGTTTTTCATTTAATCTCCAGCTCAATGGGTGCAATCTGCTTCAGTCTCTACAAGTGCTGCGCTCTTGGCATTGGGCAGAATTTTATTAAACATTAAAGTCAGCAGTCAAAAATGACTATGTAGGTTGCACTTTTCTGTGGTGCAAGGGTTAACTGTTGGTTTAGTCCAGGGGGTAAGAAGTAAGGTGAAATTCTTGCCTCATTCCATGCTTCTGCAGGCTTCCTCCTCACCGTACAACCAGTCTTAGGAAGTGGTTCCTCATTGTCACTCATCTGGTTATGGTCTCTCTGACATCACCCTGTGGAATGTAGGACCAGTGGTTCTGCATTCTATGCGAGAAAATAGAGGACCAGAGGCGATGAAGAACTTAGGTGACCTGAGAAACAAGGTAAGTATTTCTTTTTATTCCCTATCCCCTTGACCAGTGGTCTCCAAACTGAAGACAGGGGGCCGGATGTAGTCCTTTGCTTGCTTTTATCTGGCCCTTGGGGCAATATGTTCACTTCACCAATGAACAACACAGTTTCTACCAATGACTTCAACAATGGTGTACAATTCCTTCCAATGACATCAACGATGATGCACTATTCCTTCCAATGACATCAACGATGATGCACTATTCCTTCCAATGACAGCAACGATGATGCACTATTCCTTCCAATGACATCAACGATGATGCACTATTCCTTCCAATGACATCAACGATGATGCACTATTCCTTCCAATGACATCAACGATGGTGCACTATTCCTTCCAATGACATCAACGATGGTGCACTATTCCTTCCAATGACATCAACGATGGTGCGCTATTCCTACCAATGACGCAACGATGGTGCACTATTCCTTCCAATGACAGCAACGATGATGCGCTATTCCTACCAATGACATCAACGATGGTGCACTATTCCTTCCAATGACAGCAACGATGATGCACTATTCCTACCAATGACAGCAACGATGGTGCACTATTCCTTCCAATGACATCAACGATGGTGCGCTATTCCTTCCAAATGACATAAACGATGGTGCGCTATTCCTACCAATGACATCAACGATGGTGCACTATTCCTTCCAATGACATCAACGATGGTGCGCTATTCCTACCAATGACATAAACGATGGTGCGCTATTCCTACCAATGACATAAACGATGGTGCGCTATTCCTACCAATGACATGAACGATGATGCACTATTCCTACCAATGACATCAACAATGGTGCACTATTCCTACCAATGACATCAACGATGGTGCACTATTCCTTTCCAATGACATAAACGATGATGCACTATTCCTTCCAATGACCTCAACGATGGTGCACTATTCCTACCAATGACATCAACGATGGTGCGCTATTCCTACCAATGACATCAACGATGGTGCGCTATTCCTACCAATGACATCAACAATGGTGCGCTATTCCTACCAATGACATCAACGATGGTGCGCTATTCCTTCCAATGACATCAACAATGGTGTGCTATTCCTACCAATGACATCGATGATGCACTATTCCTTCCAATGACATGAACGGTGATGCACTATTCCTTCCAATGACATGAACGATGATGCACTATTCCTTCCAATGACATCGAATGGTGCGCTATTCCTTCCAATGACATGAACGATGATGCACTATTCCTTCCAATTACATGAACCATGGGGCGCTATTCCTACCAATGACATGAACGATGATGCACTATTCCTTCCAATGACATCGATGGTGCGCTATTCCTTCCAATGACATGAACGATGATGCACTATTCCTTCCAATTACATGAACCATGGGGCGCTATTCCTACTACTATTGAGAGATTGCTTACTTCCACTGATGCCGGAACATTTTGTACCCCCCCGATGGCCACAGTCCGGCCCCCCTAAAGTCTGCAGGTCCGTAAACTGGCCTTTTGTTTAGCAAGTTTGGAGACCTCTTCCCTAGACCAACCTCAGTACTCCAGCTATGGTGAGACTAGAAATCCTGTGGGGTATTTTCAAGATTCCTAGAGGCAGAGGCATGATGGAGTGTCAGGGTTGCCTATCACTGCCCTAGACAAAATGAACCCTTAACTCTTTGCCCTGTGGGGGGGGGCATTTCCATAGTCATTTTTCACAGCTGACTGGAGATAAAACAACACATTTAGCCTGTTTTTAGGAGGAGGAAAGATGTTCCTCTACATTTTGCATGCACTAAAGGGTGTTTGACCGGTCAGTCTGTTTCCTGAGTAGGGAACAGTCATTTCACGAGACGCTCATACAAGTTTTTTTTTTTTTTTTGTTGTTGCAGGAAGGAAGCCTGTGGCCTTCAGACAGCACAGTTTCAGGAAACGGCGTAGCAGAGGTAAGATGGCCCACTGAATGCTTTGATCTGAGGCAGGGTCTCTTCAAAGAAACATAAAAATGGTGCAATTTTCATAATTGTCATCAAATTTGTTCAGTTACTTTTTTTCTATCATACATAGGGGTAGGGGTAGTTGACAGTTTCTGGGAAATGGTTATATTTTCATTATATTTTAGGTATGTGTAGAATGAACTTGTGTGGCATTGTTTGTGTGCCGGCATCTTCAGTGTGACAGCTTGCTTCACATCCGGGTGCCCACTGCGCATGCGCAAGTAACGCTGCGCTTCATGAATGGTCCTGTAGTCTTCTGGGACACGTGACCGATCCCAGAGTACTACGTGGAGGGCAACTTGTGCTTCTGATCGCCTTAGGCCAGGGGTAGGCAACCTGCGGCTCTCCAGCTCTTGCAGGACTACAATGTCCATCATGCCTCTGCAAGTCATAGCTGTAACTGTCAGTTTTGTAATCTTTGCAATGCCTCATGGGAAATGTAGTTCCACAACAGCTAGAGTGCCGCAGGTTGCCAACCCCTGCCTTAGGCGATTGCAGCGAAAAGTGGGAGCGGGTACCTGTCAAATTTGGGTACCCGCTCCCCAAAGGTGCCAATCCTTAACGGGGAGTGGGGGACAAAGCCTTTAAGCGGAACTTCCCCTTTTGGGTGGAGTGCCCCTTTAAGTCTACAACACAGCACATTGTTTCTTAACATGAAGCGGCCACCGTGATCTTGGTAACTAGAAATAGACCGATTGGTCTGGACTGCCTTGGTCTTGGGTGGCTTTTTTAGCTTTTGAATGATGCTTGAACAAGGATGGCGCCATCCTTCTGAGAAAAAAGCAAATGAGGTATTGTTAGTAGGAGTATTCTCTGCAAGAGGCAATAAATACCTGGAAATGTTGCATTCACAAGTATCCCCAATGTTGGGTATCCTTTAAAGTGGTTGTAAACCCTTCCATATAAACAGAGAAGTGACTGGCCTCAGGTGATACACAGAGATTAAACAAATCATCTTACATATGTTGTACCTGTTTATCTGTAGCCATATGTCCTTTTACATCTGTTCAAAGTGCAGAATTTATAAAGCTTCTCTGAGAGTTCAGAAAAAAGTGGGTGGATGATTGAAATTACAGTCTGCAGAGCTCAGTAAGGAGAGCTCTGAGAGCTGATTGGAGGGAAGAGACACCATACACACACAGAACACAGGGACAGAGCTGAGGTTGTCAATCTGCTGGAGGTCCCTCCCCTGTCACCATTTTTCTCTTGGTGTCAGGAAACTTGTCAGAAGAGATTCATGCTGATAGTAATGAAGCAGCAGACAGAAATGACAGTACTGTGGACTGAGACAAATACACACTATAGAGGAATATGCTTTGTCAATATTTCATTTCTGAGGTTTACAACCACTTTAAAGGAGCCAAGATGGTTTTCATTCACAATGATTTTAAAATTGGTGGACGTGTAGGAAGTATATTTTGTGGCCCGTCCGTGGCTTCTGTATTGCCTATTGTATTATTTTTGTAAGCCTTCCAAATAATACGGATTGTTTTCCTGTAACCCTACAGCACATATACACACCTAGACCCTCGGACAGACTCAGCATCCCACCCTTCCTTCAGCGAGATCGCTTCAGCCGGTTCCAGCCCACCTACCCATACATACAGCACGAGATCGACCTTCCGCCTACCATCTCCCTATCGGATGGCGAGGAGCCACCGCCTTACCAGGGGCCCTGTACGTTGCAGCTCCGTGACCCCGAGCAGCAGATGGAACTGAACCGAGAATCTGTGCGGGCTCCCCCCAACCGAACAATCTTCGACAGTGACTTAATCGACAGCTCCCTCTACGGAGGCCCCTGTCCGCCCAGCAGCAACTCCGGAGTGAGCGCCACTTCCTACGGCAGCAACGGCAGGATGGAAGGTCCTCCTCCCACTTACAGCGAGGTCATAGGTCATTACCCAGGATCCTCCTTTTACCAGCACCAGCAGCAAAACATGGGCACGCCCTCCATATTGGAACACAACAGACTACATTTGCAAAGCAATGGTCACGACAGCACAGCGTCAAGGAGCAAAGATAAGGACAAGCAAAAAGGACAGCCGTTTTAGAATTGAAAAAAAAAAAAAAAAAAAAGACCGAACGTAAAAAAAAAAAAAAGAACACTGCACTTCTAGCTGGTCCGTTTTGTTGTCAGTTCGGCCCTCAATACCACTTTGTTGTGCGTATGTCTGGCAACTTTTTGGGCACCAGAAAAATAAAAACTTTGAAGGGGAAGTCGGGGTGAAAGGGGAAAGCCTTTTTTCCCTTTTTGTTCTCTCCTTGCTGTATAAATATTTACTTGTTATGTCTGGTTTGAATGCACAAGCGAAAGAAGCTTGAAAATGTTTATATGTTTAGCTATGTCTTGAAAAAAATCCTTCAACTCCGTTGCTCTTTTTTTTTTATTTTATTTTTTTTTTTATTTTTTAAAGCAGAGCAGCGTATGCTTGTTCCTATATACCCCACCCAACTTATATCTATATATTTTATTTTTTTTTTTTTCTTAATAGCTCACTTAACATTAAGGAAAACAAATCCTGAAATATTTGCACAAAAAAACTATTTGTTTAAAAGTCTTGCAATATATATATAAAAAAATTAAAAGAGAAAAAGTATGAGTGAGGGGAAGTGTATTTTTGTATTAGAAAAGGGCCTATACATTTTTGGGATGTTTGCATCAGAAATGGACAAAAAAAAAAAAGTTTTAAAGAGCAAACGGATTTTTTTTAAATTTTTTTTTCTCGGGGATTGGGGTGGGTGGGAGGGTTGTTTGAGTGCCAACTCAAAAAGTGTGTTGTATAATGGTGAGAGAGAAAAACAGCAGTTTTAGGATTATTTATATAAATATTTAAATTTTGCACTATTTTTTGATATGACTATACCAGTGCTTGTGTTAGAAACAATGTATCAAGTCTACCACAAACAACCCAAAATAGAAGTGACAAATGACTTTAAAAAAAAAAAAAAGAAAAAAAAAAAAAAAGGGATATGTGCAGCGCTAATCAATTTTTTAGCTTTTTGATTTTTTTTTTTTTTTTTTTTTTTTCCTTCAATACAGTTTGGCTGTCATTGTCTTGGGTCGCAAGGATGCATTCAGAATTTTTGATCTGGTTTTGAAACTACAACTTGTTGACTTCTATTTTTTTCAGCAAATGTTTTTGTTTTTGCCCTGCCTTGATTAAATGTTTTTTACACACTGTGCATTAAAATTAAACTGGTTACCTATAGACATTTAAGGAAGCCATTTTATTAGATATCACAATTAAAAAAAAAAAAAAAAAAAAAAAAAAAAAAAAAAAAACTTTGCCAAATTTTAGCGATGCTGTCACTTTATACATTTAATTATCCCCACCCACAAGGTGGCTACCTCCGCTGTCCATAGGTAACTGACATTTTTAAAGGGAACAACTACTTTGCTAAGTTTTTGGTATGGAAGTTTAATCTTGTGGCAGTTGGAGGAATGAATGCGCCAAAAAAAAAAAAAAATTGCATTACAAATATCCCTTTTTCATACGACCCATAATGTACTGTTCAAACATTCCCTATGAGACCAGAAACAGTATTTAGGCCAATTATGACTTTAATTGGAAATATAATAAATTGCTTTGAGATTATTATTCCTTTTTGTTTATTTTTTTTTTTTTTTACTTTTTTCGTTGTATGTTTCCCTAATGGACACTACGAATTAGTAGGAAGAATGTCATTATCATGTTATGGACTTGAAAGGCAATTTTTGTTTGTGCAATGAACACGACCAAAAATTACTTGCTTAACCTTTTATTTTAGCTTTGCTGACTGGTAATAGGTAAAATGTGTGACGTTTTTTCCTGAACTGAATATTGGTTGTTGCTTCACCAGTTCACACATTTCAATTTTTTTTAAGAAGACTTCATATAGAACACTGATGGTTGTGAATGTTTTTGTTAGCCAGTACATGGTTAGATTTGCAGTAAACCAAACGAAGAATTGTGTATCCCTCAAGACTGTCCTGTTAGCACCCCATCCTTCTCAGACAGTCTTGTTGGCACCCCGTCCTTCTCAAGACTGTCTTGTTGGCACCCTGTCCTTCTCAAGACTGTCTTGTTGGCACCCTGTCCTTCTCAAGACTGTCTTGTTGGCACCCTGTCCTTCTCAAGACTGTCTTGTTGGCACCCTGTCCTTCTCAAGACTGTCTTGTTGGCACCCTGTCCTTCTCAAGACTGTCTTGTTGGCACCCTGTCTCAAGACTGTCTTGTTGGCACCCTGTCCTTCTCAAGACTGTCTTGTTGGCACCCTGTCCTTCTCAAGACTGTCTTGTTGGCACCCTGTCCTTCTCAAGACTGTCTTGTTGGCACCCTGTCCTTCTCAAGACTGTCTTGTTGGCACCCTGTCCTTCTCAAGACTGTCTTGTCGGCACCCTGTCCTTCTCAAGACTGTCTTGTCGGCACCCTGTCCTTCTCAAGACTGTCTTGTCGGCACCCTGTCCTTCTCAAGACTTCTTGTCCCTGTCCCTTCTCAAGACTGTCTTGTCGGCACCCTGTCCTTCTCAAGACTGTCTTGTCGGCACCCTGTCCTTCTCAAGACTGTCTTGTCGGCACCCTGTCCTTCTCAAGACTGTCTTGTCGGCACCCTGTCCTTCTCAAGACTGTCTTGTCGGCACCCTGTCCTTCTCAAGACTGTCTTGTCGGCACCTTCTCAAGACTGTCTTGTCGGCACCCTGTCCTTCTCAAGACTGTCTTGTCGGCACCCTGTCCTTCTCAAGACTGTCTTGTCGGCACCCTGTCCTTCTCAAGACTGTCTTGTCGGCACCCTGTCCTTCTCAAGACTGTCTTGTCGGCACCCTGTCCTTCTCAAGACTGTCTTGTCGGCACCCTGTCCTTCTCAAGACTGTCTTGTCGGCACCCTGTCCTTCTCAAGACTGTCTTGTCGGCACCCTGTCCTTCTCAAGACTGTCTGTCGGCACCCTGTCCTTCTCAAGACTGTCTTGTCGGCACCCTGTCCTTCTCAACTGTCTTGTCGGCACCCTGTCCTTCTCAAGACTGTCTTGTCGGCACCCTGTCCTTCTCAAGACTGTCTTGTCTGTCGGCACCCTGTCCTTCTCAAGACTGTCTTGTCGGCACCCTGTCCTTCTCAAGACTGTCTTGTCGGCACCCTGTCCTTCTCAAGACTGTCTTGTCGGCACCCTGTCCTTCTCAAGACTGTCTTGTCGGCACCCTGTCCTTCTCAAGACTGTCTTGTCGGCACCCTGTCCTTCTCAAGACTGTCTTGTCGGCACCCTGTCCTTCGTCTTGTCGGCACCCTGTCCTTCGCAAGACTGTCTTGTCGGCACCCTGTCCTTCGCAGAGCAAAAGATGTTGGTCCAGTTTGACCACATGGTGTTTTTACTGAAAAATACTTTAAATTCATTCTCCCAAATCCCATGCCTTCTTGCGTTACTTGCTGTAAAAGATTCCGAAAATTCATCTTTTCTAATCTCCTTGCTAATTGTTTGGGGCTTTCTTTAAGATTTATTTTCTTTACGAGTTAAGTCACCGAGAGGATCCTTAACCATCAATTCATAGGCTGGGGATCTACACATCAGCATTCACACACTTGTGCACCATAAATACAAAGTAGACACATAGCTAATTGTTAGAATTGAGAACATGACTTTTGTTGCTGCCCCTTGGTATCGAATTAAAATTTGTTGGCACTGCAGCGTTTTCTACAACTTAATTTTTTTAGGTTAAAACCAAAACTGCCTTTGCATTTAAATCAACACTCAATGTAGGCATGCATAAACACACCCAGGCCTCCAGTATGGGAATATTAATGCAATGCTTAATGTATGGATGCATTCAGAAGCCTAAGTCAAGTGACCGTGAACTGTGTTTATGGGTCTGTTGGCAAAACAGAATCTAAGTCCGTGGTTTAAAAATGTAAGAATAAAAAAATTACAATTTTATATATTCAAATTTAAATTTCTAATGTGTTCAGGGAAGAGAATCCAGTACCAGTGTTTGGTCTCTGACTTCGAAATGACCTCCCTCGGTCCATCGAGGCAGCAGTAGAAAGCAAACAGGCACCTTTACTTCAAGTCAAGCGATAGAGAACCTTGTTCATGGTCCTGTTGGCAACTCAGAATCTAAGTCCGTGGTTTGAAAGGTTAGGAATAAAACAGTTAAAATGTAACATTCAATGGATTTAAACTTCTATGTTCATGGAAGAGAATCCAGTACTAGTGTTTTGGGCAGCTCTCTGACTTCAAATGGACTTCCCTTGGTCCATCACGGTAGCAGTAGAAAGCAAGAAGCACCTTCACGTCAAGTCAAGTGATGGTGAACCTTGTTCATGGTTCTGTTGGGAACTCGCAATCTGACTCTGTGGTTTAAAAATTAAATTTTTTATTCTTAATATTTAAGATGCAATACATTTAAATTTCCAATGTGTTCTCGACGAAAATCCAGTACCAGTGTTTGGGCAGTTCTCTGAGCTCTGCGAATGGACCTTCCTTGGTCCATCAAGCCGTAGACAGCAACAGGCACCTACACTGCCTTACCACAACCAAACCCTTTGGCTCTACACACTTTTTAGACCTGCAGTTTTGGTGTCGCTTGATATAGAGTTCAAGACCACCCACCAAGTATCCAGTTTTAGCGCTAGTGTGGAAAAGACCTTTAAAGACCCATCCGAACGGTTGCTTTGTGGTCATAAACTTTTATATTTTTTTTAAGTGGCACCCCAACACGCTGTCAATGTTCTCTCTCTGCAGTAAGCCACAACATGTACACCATATATTGTGGGTTTTCTGCATTCAAAAGGGTTCGTGTCTGATTTTTGGGCGGTTACCATGTGTTGGCAGCCTATCAATAGCGAATTTAAAAGCTGTTTTATACAATACATGTTGACTTACAGCAACCATGTATGTTTAATGTGCATCAGCAACCTAGAGCAATATTTTTGGGCCCTAAACATGGGGTGGGGGAAATGATTGCATGGCTTGGACTATACAAACAGGAGATGTTTGTAATCAGGACATGCGTGGTTTACCCCTATTTTAATTGCAAACTCAAAAACACAAGATTGAAGAACATGGTGGAAGTTGTCATACCAGGCCAGCATACAAGATGTTATCTGCTTCTTACAAGATGAAACAAGTTTGAGATTTGTATTTTTAAGTTTCTTACTGATATAGCATTACCAACTATGTTATGAACTCCTATTTTTTTTTTTTTTGTTTGTTTGAACACTGAAGTATTTTGCCTACAACAGTGTAATTTATTTTGGCATCTATGAATCCTCGAACCTACTATAGTTTAAATGAATGTTTTGGGTTGGTCTAGAAACAGGACCAACCCAAAACATTTTTTTTTTTTTCATTTAGATGTTGGGTTGTGGCATGCATCATATTCTTTACATTCTGTGACTGGATTGGGATGGTCCATAATGTTCACATAGGGCAGGGGTGTCAAACAGGCGGCCCTTCAGCTGTTGCCAAACTACAAGTCCCGTCAAGCCTCTGCCTTTGGGAGTCATGCTAGTAACTGTCAATCTTGAAATGCCTCGTGGGACTTGTAGTTTGGCAATAGCTGGAGGGCCGCCAGTTTGACACCCGTGACATAGGGTAATGTTATCGTGTAGATATTAATTTCTTTTTTTTTTTTTCTTTTTTTTTTTTTCTTACAAGTTCTCACCAAATGTTGAATAATTTGCATGTAGTAACATGCACCTAAAGCATTGGGAGTCCTACATAAAGTCATTTCACCATTTAAGCCCTTGACCTTCTTACCCTTCTTACCCACAAGGCCCAGCAAAACTTTTTCTGCATGAAAAATATATAAGGAAGTCCTCATGCACACTTGACGTTTTTACAGCTGCTGTTTGTGGCTTTTGACGGTTTTTTTCTACACCCAGTAAACCCCCCAGCATGTTATCCTATGTGTCCCTAGGCTGTAATAAATGTTTTTTGGCTGGAAAAAGACCCCAGGACTAGTGGGATTCTAGAGGAGTTTTTTAGCTGTAAAAACATGGTAAACGCTGCAAACTGGCGTTTTTGACCTTTTTTTGGTAAAAATAAAAACGCTAAAAAACGTGGCTAAACTCTAATGCAAAAAGGCTGAAAACTCACGGTTTTAACGTGACTTTACACAGCTGTTACCAGCGTTCTCAAAACGTCCCGTGTGCATGAGGGCTAAAGACTTAACTGAGAGGTAATAATGTGGCACTTCCAATGGGCTGGAGAGTTTAGAACAGGGTTCCTCAACCAGAATTCCATGCAACCCTAGGTTTCCTCCAGAGTTTGAGCAATTTCTGCTCTCACATTAGTTCCCACTGACACTATTGATCATAGCTGTCTATAAGGAGGTAATTCTTCCCACCAGGAGTGTGAGGAGCATTCTTCCCACCAGGAGTGTGAGGAGCATTCTTCCCACCAGGAGTGTGAGGAGCATTCTTCCCACCAGAGTGTGAGGAGCATTCTTCCCACCAGGAGTGTGAGGAGCATTCTTCCCACCAGGAGTGTGAGGAGCATTCTTCCCACCAGGAGTGTGAGGAGCATTCTTCCCACCAGGAGTGTGAGGAGCATTCTTCCCACCAGGAGTGTGAGGAGCATTCTTCCCACCAGGAGTGTGAAAGGTTGAGAAAGGCAAGACCATGCATAAAATAATCCCAAGAACCCACAAGTTCTTTGCCCAGTACATTCTAATAGGTCACGGACTGTCCTGGCTTTATGGGTCAGAACCTACAGGAAAATATGCTTTGCTAAAGGCAAAAAGTTTTCAAAAATTGTTCATCAAAATAACCAGGACCTCTTGTGCATGAGTAGATGTAATATTCACTCCCCCTTCTAGTTACCGTTTAATATCCGTTGATGGTCCCAAGCTCCAAAATGCATCTACCTATATCGTATTTTATTAAGTCTTAACTTAAAACACACCATAACAGCCATTAAAGCTTTCTGAACCAGACTGTCAGTGTCCCCGGGTCAACTGCAACATCAATTAATGCCTCCAACTGCTAATTATAGTGATTAACCGACCTCTCCAACTGAACTGTGTGAGGGATTCATCCGAAATCCATTTCTTAGTTCAAAATTGACAAAATATCTCTTTACCCTGCACTAAATGCCACTTTAGTGAGTTTAATTAAAGAAAAAGCCTACCTTGAGCCACACATTCCTGAAATAATAAAAAAAAAAAAAAAGAATGCACTAAAAATATGTAAATTCAGTTTTTTGTTTTTTTTTTTTTTCTCTTGGATGGTAGCCATCCGTAAACCATTCCATTTCCAGAATTCCTTTCAGCAGGCAGTGGCACAGATTTTTTTTTTTTTTTTTTCTTCTTTAAATGGGGGGATATATTTGAAAACAAAATTAGTTTTACAAAAGTCAAAGGGAAAACCTTTTTTTGACGATTAGCTGCGAATGATATGTTAGGTATAATTTTCTACTCTAGCTGCGACCTGATTTGTCATTCTAGTCAGCGCAAGGTGTCTTGAGGTTTTATTTTATCTTCACGAAATGTGTTGATTTTAGTTCTCCCATTAATGATGGGTCACCCTAGAATTTTTTTTTTTTTTAATTAAACGAAACTAAGTTTACAGTGAAGGGTTAGTACTCTCCATTTTGTGATCTAAGGTAATAGCAAAGGATTGTGGGGAAAAGAGTTCTTCCTGTACCGCACCCTCTATTTGCACAAATGTGTCTCTACGAGACCAGCACGACCTCTTCTAGTTGACTGAAAAAAAAAAAAATGCTAACATAATAAGGCAATAAGCATTGTTTTTATGAAATGTTTTTGTAATGCATCGAACAACTCTTGAGACCCAGGATATTTTTAATGAGATCCTGCTCTGTTAAAATGAACACAGCTGTATTTAAATGTATACTTGTGACACATAAAGGTATGATTTTTGCAACTTTTTGTAATAGGTTTGTTTCCCAAGGGGGGGAAAAAAAATTTAAATTTAGCAAAAGACCATGAAATCCTAGACAGGGCATCAGTACGTGACACAAGCATGTTGGTAATTTTTTTTAATTTTTTTTTTTTTTTGCGTCAAGTCGGTTTAGTGCCTTAAAATATCCTTCTGTGATATTAGGGGTTGGATAGGGTTAGGATGATACCCTCTTCAGAAAAGGGTTTTTTTTTAGATATTTGTAACCCTGAGGAGCAGGGATATTATCTGTCAAGATGTCCCCCCTTTTCTTCACGCTAAACACTAGAACTATAAAGATGTGCCTCGCTGTGTATGGTGCTCCTTATGCTAAGCATTGGACTGTTGGCAAGGTTCTTCGTAAGCCTTGTTTTTAATGCACATATCCTTCTGCTAGATAGGCTGAAAAAACTGTGGTAGATTTTGTATGAAAGCAGACCACCAAAACTTGGAAAACGTCGGACTGCCCTTGTTGAGCCAAAAAATAAAATTAATGAAAAAAAAAAAAACTAAAAAAAAAAAAGCGGGTGTACTAATATTTCCTGTGCTTTGGTATATTTTCTGTTTAGGAAAAAAACTCAATATCCTGTAAATGCAATGTGGAAAATACCTTGGGCTACTGAACTGAAATTCATATTTTTAAAATAATAAACTGCAGCTTTTGGTGCAGATGCCTTTTTTCCCCAGAGATGTACTTAAATTGTTTGACAGTCGGACAAAGGACGCCAAATCATCTGAAGTGAATGATTTATTTAAAAAATTGCTTTGTAAATGGGTTTGAATTTCTTCCAAACATTTCTAGCCCACATTTTAAAGCTTAAATTTTAAAGTTTAAATATTTTAAAATTATTTTTAATTCTATAATTTTTTTTTTTGTAATGGATCTTGGTATATACTTATTGTCAGGGGCGGACTGACCATTTGGAAACTCGGGCACTGCCCGAGGGCCCAGGGTCAGTAGGGGGCCCCATGAGATGCCCCTGGTACCTTTTTCATAGGCTTTTTTGAGTTTGGGCAAGGACACAGGGGCCCCATGATCCCCTATTGCCCGGGGGCCCCATGAGTTGTCAGTCCGCTTCTGCTTATTGTAGAACAAGATAGCTCATAAATAGTACAACTATATTCATGAAATCTACAGTTTCCTTTTTACCAGATTCAGTTCTCTAATGTTCAGCAGCCTAAAGGTTCCTGTTTTATGTCTGCATAGACTTTTTTTTAAAGGGCTTAATTTATGAAAGTTGATGAAATAAAGTCATCTTGGGATAAACAACAAAACAAGATAAGTAACATAATTTTTTTTTTGGCACCGTGTTATTACAGAAAAACCTTTCCTATAGAAGGGGGCGCTTTAGAACTGCTGGGCATGTTCATTTTATAATCCTTCTCCATTGTAAGGGGCACTCCCAAGCATTTGGTGGAGCAGCCATTGCATTTTTTTATTTTTTTATTTTGGAAGCAAAGATTTAATTGGTTATGAATTATCTGTTGTATATGGGTTACCATAAATCATTAAATTGATGTATCCTAACCAAAAAAAAAAAGTGGGGCAACCATGTGACACGAAAAAAAAGCAATGCTTTTAAAGTTTACTTGGCCATATATCTAGAAATAAATGTAAAAAAAATATAAAAAAAAAAAATAATTCTGACAAGGCACAAAAAGCCTCATGGATGGCACTAGCTCCCGTCTTCTCGTATTGTCTTGGAATCCTATTAAAGGTTGCCTCCAGTTGATATATTCATGGATAAAATTTAAAGAACGCATTGACATCTCAAAGCTGGGAGTGCTTCAGACTTCGTTTTCTGAACCTGAGAAGGCTTATCTATTATACATGAATTATAACTTTGTCGAACTATTTTCACATGCCCTGTTTTGCAGCAAGCGAGGAGAGAAAAAAAATATTTAATGTAAGTTAAAATAAATTTAAATTTTTTTTTTTTCTGTAAATGACCAACTTTAACCGAATCAAAATCCAGCATGAATATTGTCCTTTTAGGATGGAATGAAATTGTAGAATGTTAGAGAAAATGTTAATGAATATACAGTCTTGATGGTTCTCGTTTAACAGGTGACACCACCGGTAAAATAAAAATTTCATGACCCAATTTTTTTTTTTTTTTCCCCCCTGAAAGTATTGGTGTGAAAAAAAAAAGTCAGAAATGGATTGCATTTTAAAACGAACTTTGCTTAAAAAGAAAAAAAAACAAACAAACACAAGCAAAACAAATTAATTGCACTAGACTGACAAGTGATAAAAGGACTTTTTTTTTGAACGGCTACAAATATTGTGCATCGCACAAAGCTACGAGCTCAAATATGAAGCATTTTTGTGTGAAAAACTTGGCAAACTTTTTTTTTTTGTTATGATATATTTTAATATATAAATGTTGCAATGTCCCATAACCTACACTACAAATATACAAATATTGCTATAAAACTATTGCGTTCTATGAGGAGCCGAATGATGTGCTTGTTATTTTTTTTTCTTTTCCTGATACTTCCGTGAACTATGTGTATGGCGTATGTATTTTGAGCAGTTTTTTTATTTTATCACAGGTTCTGTTTTCAGTCTACTTATGTAAAAGACAGCACATTCAATGCAGTAATTGATTATTATTATTCTGAATACTATTATAATGTTATTTTATGCCGCAGTTTATGGTATATTCAAGATTTACTCTGCCAGTTTTCAAACTGTTCTTGCTTACTGTGTATTGGTAGAAATGTCATAAATCATGGCTGCAATACTTAACTCGACAATAAAATTTACTTATATGTTGCCACAAAGTCTAATTTTTGTGTTTTTTTTTTATTTATTTTTTTATTCTTTTGTTTTTATTTTTATCTTTTTTTCATTTCTCTCCTACTTTATATTACATATTTTTCTTGCAGTTTCTTTTTCAAATGTTTGCATTATATGGCAGAGTATATTTTTAATCCTGGATTGTACCTAAGGATGCTACTAATCTGTATTCGGACCGTGAAATCACTGAGAATTCAGCGTATCTATTCACAAGAGCTCAGTGACGCAAAGAAAATGCAGCCTAGCCATTGCATTGCAGACTGTTACTATAACTGAGAATGCAGCCTACCGCTGTACTGGAGACCAATGGGGTCACTGAGAATGCAGCCTACCGCTGTACTGGAGACCAATGGGGTCACTGAGAATGCAGCCTACCGCTGTACTGGAGACCAATGGGGTCACTGAGAATGCAGCCTACCGCTGTACTAGAGACCCATGGGGTCACTGAGAATGCAGCCTACCGCTGTACTAGAGACCCATGGGGTCACTGAGAATGCAGCCTACCGCTGTACTAGAGACCCATGGGGTCACTGAGAATGCAGCCTACCGCTGTACTAGAGACCCATGGGGTCTCTGAGAATGCAGCCTACTGCTGTACTAGAGACCCATGGGGTCACTGAGAATGCAGCCTACTGCTGTACTAGAGACCCATGGGGTCACTGAGAATGCAGCCTACCGCTGTACTAGAGACCCATGGGGTCACTGAGAATGCAGCCTACGGCTATACTAGAGACCAATGGGGTCACTGAGAATGCAGCCTACGGCTATACTAGAGACCAATGGGGTCACTGAGAATGCAGCCTACTGCTGTACTAGAGACCAATGGGGTCACTGAGAATGCAGCCTACCGCTGTACTAAAGACCAATGGGGTCACTGAGAATGCACCATACCGTTGTACTAGAGACCAATGGGGTCACTGAGAATGCAGCCTACCGCTGTACTAGAAGCCAATGGGGTCACTGAGAATGCAGCCTACCGCTGTACTAGAGACCAATGGGGTCACTGAGAATGTAGCCTACCGCTATACTAGAGGCCAATGGGGTCACTGAGAATGCAGCCTAACTAAAGGGGGTCACTGAGAATGCAGCCTACCGCTGTACTAGAGACCAATGGGGTCACTGGGAATGCACCCCACCGCTGTACTAGAGACCGATGGGGTCACTGAGAATGCTCTGTCCTTTCACTGTGCACCTGTACCATCAAGGAGAATGCAATCTATTCAATCGCTAGGGACTGGTGCTATGAATGAGAATGCAGCAAATCCATGCCATTCAACAGGCTTTATTGGAGAATACAGGCTGTCCATTCACTAGAGAGTGGTGACGTCTCTGAAAATGCAGCCTATAAATTCACTAGAGAGCGGTGACATCACTGAGAATGCAGCCTATCCATTCACTAGAGAGCGGTGACATCACTGAGAATGCGGCCTATCCCTTCACTAGGAAGCAGCGACGTCACTGAGAATGCAGCCTATAAATTCAGTAGAGAGAGGTGACATCACTGAGAATGCAGCCTATCCATTTGCTAGAGAGCAATGACATCACTGAGAATGCAGCTTATCTATTCACTAGAGAGCGGTGACATCACGGAGAATGCAGCTTATCTATTCACTAGCGGTGACATCACGGAGAATGCAGCCTATCCATTCACTAGATTAATTCATTACCATTAATTACCAATCAAAACCCATTCAAGACCCAAATCAAGCCCATAAGAAAACATTATATTTGCCTTTGATACAAGTACAAAAAAAGCAAATGCAATCTAAAGATTTACATAAATCTTTCATCTTTATGACCGCCTCATGTGATCAGTCACAACATGAAGTCATCTGGTAAATCCTGCTGTTACTTTAACAACTTAATTGTTTGACATTGTCTGTTTATGGGATTACAGGGAGTAAAAACATGGCTATGATAAATACCCCCATAGTCCCCGGGTCAGTCTGTACAACTGTTCTTCACGGTAATGTGGCAGGTATCTGTCACTCGCCACGCTGCACTGATAACTCAGTCAAAACACTTCCATGCTCCAGCCGGCAGTTCAAAAGGCCCCACACCCATCAGGTGGTATTGCAGGTTTTTCAACTCTTTATGCTGAAAATGTAAAATGTCCCACATCTCTGTAATACACCACACGCCGTAATGAAAAAGAAAAATCCTTAATCAATAACTATTTTCAAAGGGTTGAGTGATGTATTGAGCATTTTTTTTTTTTTGATCCTTTCATTCAACATTTCAGATCAAATCTAAACTCTTTCAAACAGAAAAATCTAATAGGACCTTTATATGCATAAGTGTGCTTGTTTCCCTTGATTTTATGTTTATTAGGAATGGAATAACAAAATAAGCAATAAGGATACATTTTCCGTCCATTTTCTGACCGCATTTAAAGGAATTTCTTTGTTGTCCAATAAGGGATACAGCAAGGGTAGAAACTCTTGAACAGTCGGGTCTTACTGCCACCCTCAGGATGTTGGAACACTGGCACACAAAAAGAAAAACCGTTAAGCCAGTCTCTTTTGCCTCTACCTACAGCTGCCATGCCTCAATGAAGAGCTCCTCCACACAAGAACTGGGGGGGGGGGGGGGGCAGCAAAGAGCTCCATCTCAGATTAATAAAGGTCCAGAGAAGTGCCAGACCTCAGATACAGTGTCAAAATATGTCCTTCCTCCAGGGCTTTTACTCTGCTGTGTCTTACAGCCCGTCAGAGCTGAGGAGGAACCTAGGAGAGCCTCTCCTACCTTTTCACAGCAGAATCACCACCCCAGCCGAGAGTTCTCCTCACAAGAACCCAACACAGCAAAGAGCTCCATCCCACAATAATATCCTCAAGAGAAATGCCAGCTCAGCTTTCAGACCTCAGATAGAGAGTTGGGGTATGTCCTCTCCCCTGGGCTTCTACCTGGCTGTCATATGACCCATCAGACCTGAGGAGGAGCCTAGGAGAGCCTCTCCTACCTTTTCACAGCAGAATCACCACCCCAGCCGAGAGTTCTCCCAACAAGAACCCCCACAACAAACAGCTCCATCCCACAATAATAAATATCCTCAAGGGAAATGCCAGCTCAACTTTCAGACCTCAGAGTCGGGGAATGTCCTTCCCCCTGGGCTTCTACTCGGCTGTCATATGACCCGTCAGAACTGTGGAGGAGCCTAAGAGAGCCTCCCTCAGCATTGAGC